CAGAAAAATGTCATATATGAACAGGACTATGTGAAACAACTCTCCATGCTTTCACCTTGGATTCTAGCACAAAAAATGATTTTAAAAATATGCTCAAATAAAACATGTTGAATTTGGATTCTCTTCTAGGAAGTACTGGTAAATAAACAGATTAGAAACAGAGAGAGAGAGAGAGAGAGAGAGAGAGAGAGAGAGAGAGAGAGAGAGAGAGAGAGAGAGAGAGAGAGACAGAGACAGAGAGAGAGAGACAGAGAGAGAGAGAGACAGAGAGACAGCATTTATTACCTACTTACCATGTGCCAAGCACTGTGCTAATTACTGGGAATAAAAATACAAACAAAATACATAACAGCCCTTGCCCTCAAGTAGCTTAGACTTGAAGGAAAGAAGATAACATATAAAATATAGTTGAAAAATTCTGCAGGTCAGGGTCAGGTAGAGAGATACTAGCATTGTGCGAGTTTCAGAACAGTCCAAAGAGTCATGACCTAAACCAGGTATTAATGGGTGCTTCCTCAAATACAGTTTTGATGATAAACTCATTTTCCAGAGAAGGTGACAGCAGAAGTGGACCATTTCCTCTGTAATTCAACCCAGATGGTAAGTGACTATTTTTTTATGTTTCAAGATGGGCAATAAATATTTCAATGGTTCATGGGGCAGGAGAGAGGCATACTAACCTATTCTTAAATCTGTATACTTGATTCCACCCATCTAGTCGGTATAAGGCCAATGTGTGACTGTAATTAAGGGGAATTAACAAAATATTAAAGGTCATTCCTGGGAAAGGGGGGTGTTGTGACTATGATGTCATGCCAAGTGAGATCCCCTGCTCTCCTGGCTCCGATTGGTGATCTTTTCCCTTACATTTCCCTGATGCACATTTACCATTTCACATTCCCAGTCATTCCACATCATGGTGCTACCCTTTCCCTTTGCAAATGTGGCTCTGAGATAACATTAATAAAATTACAAAACCAATAATTCCTGGAAAGGACATGTCACTGACCTCACTCTCTCTCTCTTCTGGCCACCACTTTCTGCTATGTATTGTCTTTTTTCATTATCACATAAGCTCTGTGAAATAAGGGACTGTCTTCCTTGCTTATATTTGTATCTTCAGTGTTTGGCAAATAGCACATAATAAATGCTTTTTCGTTCATTCATTCATCCCATATTTCACAGCACAACCAAATGCAATAGCTAGTTTGGAGCTAGACTACAAATGGTCCAAATCTGTAAAAGTCAAGGGAAAGCCAGTGTTAAGGGCAGTTATAGGGATCAGTAAATATTGTTTTATACTATGTGACTCTTTACTTAGTATGTGTTAGCTATGATCCTTCCTTGTTTCTCTTTGCTATCATCACCATGGGCCCAAACACTAAGACTCTCCCTAGAAGAACTCCCAGATTCAAGTTTTTAGCATACTCTTCTTAGAAAACCTCTATCACTTTGCATGCACATTGTACATGCAGGTCCTATCTACTCTTCTCACGTCTGTCTCTCTATTGGTGTACTAGTTCAGAAAGTGGCCTTTTGCTTTCAAAAGATTAGAATTTGGGGGTCTTGTATTTCTCTTTGCTGTCAAAATTTTGGCTATTTGGAAATAATTTATTGGACATAGTTTTTGATAACACAAAGTCCATCATAAAAAGGACCAATGGATTTGATATTGGATAAATTTTGAGGAAGGTAATATTAGCCACCAGACCACAGAACTCTCTACCTCTCTAACTAGGATTAGGAAAGGTAAAGCCGTATCTCAAGAGTTTTGCATAGTATGGTATGGAAATAAACATGTACTTGGGACCCCAGTTAAAAGTGAAGTGAAAGGTAAAATCATATAGCTGGGAAATTTCTGTCATGATCAGACAAATAGAATTAGGAAGAGTGTCAGGCTCACCATAGACGAGGAAATGTTTCATCTTTGATGACACACTCACCACTCTTAAATGCAAACTTTCTCCAGGATTGGGAGTAAGTTTTTTTGTTGTAATGCAGGAATACCATTGCCCAGGGTTGGAGGGGAGTCAGAAGTGGTTGTAAAAGCCACTGTGTGGTCTTTGGTCAGGGCATATATCTAATAAAACTAGACACATTGTCATACATTTATATACATACATATGTACACACATACACACACACACACACACACACACACACACACACCACACACACACATATGCTTGATCTATAGTCGCTCCAAATTATGTGTTAAGGTGTTTGTGGGGACCGGTAGGACGTTGAGGACCACAGGCTGTTCATGAGACTTCACTGATGGGCGAAGGCCCCTCTCGGGTGTTAGTACATGTGCAGAATATCCTGGCTCGGTTCTCCGTCCATGGACCTTGCATTCCCCAATCAGCAGAACTCTGATACTAGGCAAGCTCAAACTATAACACAATGTTGCTAGCTCAAGCACAGTCAGCTCTCGGCACAAAGAGATATCCGTATTGCTAACTTATGTATCAAGTATTGCTAGTTCATGTATCAAGTATTGGGAACATTCCGGGAACGAAAAGTACATGGTGTTTTACGGAACAGCATGGGAGAAGGACACAGTCAGGACAATGTTGCAAAGAAATGTGGATACTTTGATTGTTATTCGCATGGGAAAGATGTTTGGTGTTGCGTACTGGTAAAGATACGTAAACCTTGTTGCTTTATTCACTGTTACATTGGGGTATGTTCCCATGAGTAAAAGATATAAAACGCTGAAGGCAGGACCAGGGTAGTAGTAGAGTAATAGCAGCAGTAGCAGCAGCGAGTGGGGTAGCTGCTGAGTTGTTTTCCCGCTTGAGAGAATGGCTGAATAAGCCTTTTGAAACTACACCTCTCTTTTGACTCCACTCCTTTGTTTTCCGGGGACGCCCGAAGACTGCAGGTGCAGTTGAGTATGACCCAGGCAGCCCTCCTGAAGTAACAAGGACTGTTACAGGTGATTAACAAGAACATGTGATTTGAAGCCAGGATGTTATGGCAAAGATGGAGAACTATGCTTCAAGCATTGTGAAAGACAATGTAGAGATGTGTCTATCTTAAATTGACTGTAGGAGTTATACCAGTTTGGGGAGCAATAAACTGGACTGATTTTGTAAGCATCAGGAATGTGTCTGATCTTGATACCTCAGAACCGACAGTTCTGGATAAAGCTACATTAGGGTAAAGTGTCCTAGGGCCAGAGGGCAAAACTTAATAAATATCCCAAACAGAATATTGAAAAAATGTTTACCTCTTCTAAATTTCTAGAGAACTTTATTGTATTTTAATTGTTTCTTTTTAATTTTTGACTTAAAAATCACCAACAAATATAAAAAAACCAATGCATACATAAAACCACAATTTCTTATGTCTCTCTCCTATTTTTTCCCAATTTTTCCTGAATGTAGTATTTTGTGTAAAATATTTCATATGCCCCATTAGCATGTAAGCTACCTTTGATAGGGACAATGTCTTAAATTCCTTGTATTCTTTTCTGTCTTCATCACAGATATCTGTTCATAGTCCATATTCATAGAGCATTAATCACATGGATTAATTATCCATCCCTTCACTCAACCAAATTGATTAATGTTTGTGAGATAAACTTCAATGGAGTATATAACATGGAAATAAGATCTGATGGGGATTATAGGAATTCTTAACTTACTAATTAGCTGCCCCTTCTTTAAAACCCAACTCAAAGGTTATTTCCTCAGCATCACACAATTATATAGTTGTAAAGAGCACCTAGACCAATATTTACCCAAACAGTCCTTCCTTTCAATCTCTGATGAAATTATCCTTTCTCATTACTGAGAAGAAATCCTCTATTCGCACCTTGATCCCATATCCTGTATCACCTATAGAAGCTTACTTCGGCAACATTCCTTCCTTTCTTTATCTTCCTTTAATTTTTTTGCTGTTTTGAACTTTACAATACCAATAAACACAAGCATATTCATATACAAAGAAGAGAAAAAGACTGTAGTATTAAAGATTATATACATATGATGAGATAAGAGGGGTAAGTACATTATATTTAAAGGCATCATAGGTAATGAATCAATGTGAATAATATTTATGTAAATATATACATGCATAAATAATTGAAATGTAGAGATAAATTTTCAGTAAAAACATAATAGGGAACTAAATGTATTATTTTGGTACTGAATAAATCTAACAAAATATAAAGAATAAAACATTTAAGGACTTCATAAGAACTTTAGAAAAATAAGAAAATCAGAGAATATAATTCTCAGGTAATTACTGAATAGGAACATAAGAAAATCAACATTTTTTTTCTAGTGCATATGAAACTTTTATAAAATTTTATCAAGTATCTGTGAATAAAGAGCTCATTGAACATGCAGAAAAATAGAAATACTAAACGTAAGTTTCATTTATCATAGTGCAGTAAAATTACATTCAAAGAAAGAACTTTGAAGGAAAAGAAAAAAGTATGTAATTAGTGAATCAAAAAACTTCATAAAGAAATAGAATTCTTATCATAAAAATTACAACAATGAGATAATATGGGTTATAGATGGGTTATAGCTAATGCAATCTCTTTGGCAAAATTTATACTTTTATGCACATTTATTAACAAAAGCAATGAACTGGATATGCAATATAAAAAATAATCCTAGAAAAAGCAATAAATCAATTTTCCCAAACAACAAATCCTGAAAACAAATAAAAGATTAATCAAGTTGAAAGCAGAAAAAGCCATTAAATTGATAAACAAAAGTATGAACTGGTATTTAAAATAATAACATAAATAAAGATAAGTTTAGTCTATTTTTTTTCCAAAAGTTATGAAACCAAACTGTTCTTAAAAATGCAAAACTAGGAGGCAGAGCCAAGATGGCAGAGAAAAGACAGAGACTCACTTGAACTGTCCACAAAAACTTTCTGAACACCTTTGAATAATTTCAAAAACAATTCCTGGGGTGGCAGAACCCATAAAAGGACAGAGTGAAATAATTTTCCAGCCAACAGCAGCTTAGAAGGTCAACATGGAAGGTATGTCACACCAGGGTGACAGTGGAGCCCTGTCTAGCAAAAGCCACGTAAGCACAGATCAGGGCCACTAAATTAGCAGTGGCAGCTGCTACTTCTAAAGTTCTTGGCCCACAGACAGTAAGGGGTCGAACAATTGATCAAAAGGAGATCACAGAGGTCTCTTGCTGCAATTACGGGCAGGACTCTGTTGCCTTGTCCATAGTCAGACTGGAGTCACAGTCCTGGGTGGCAGTCCCAGAGCAAGGAGGAGCACTAGCACATGACAGCTTGTGGGCCACAATGCAGCAGGGAGCCTCCTCAGAGTTCCAGGGCAGAAAACAGTGCTTGTGGTCACTCACAGACCAGGGCATAAGCCAGGAGAGTAGTAAACACCTCTCCTTAGATCATATCACCTTTGAAGAATTGAAAACTTACAGGTCCCTAGAAGTATCTCTGAAAACAGCTGCACAAAAACCCTAAAGCTTGGGTCAGAGCATGCCCCACCCTGGAAGCAGAGCCCACTTTAACAAAGAGTTCAAAGTCATGAAATATATAGAACATATAGAGAACTGAGTCAAATATATAAAAATAAGAGCCATTCCCCAATTGATGAATGATAAAGGGATAAAAGCAGTTTTCAGACGAAGATTAAAGCTCTCTATAGCCATATGAAAAAAATGTTCTAAACCACTATTGACTGGAAAAATGCAAATTAAAACAATTCTGAGGTTCTATCTCATACCTATTAGATTGGCTAATATGATAAAAAAGGAAAATGATCAGTGTTGGAGTAGATGTGGGACAAATGAGACATTAACGCATTGTTGGTGGAGTTGTTGCCTGAATCAACCAATTCTGTAGAGCAATTTGGAACTATGCCCAATCATGCATAACCTTTGATCTATCAATACGACTACTAGGTCTATATTCAAAAAGAGATTAAAAAAAGGAAAAGGATCTATACGTACAAAATATTTATAGCATCTCTTTTCTGGTGATGAAGAATTGGAATTTGAAGGAATGCTCATCAGTTGAGGAATACCTGGACAAATTATGGTATGTGATTACAATGGATTATTATTGTGCTATAAGAAATGATGTGCAGGATGCTCTTAGAAAAAAAAACAGAAATCTTTCTGATGGTTCCTCCTATTGGTTTTAATTTTTACTTACAACTTCATTAATGTGAAAATATGTTTAATAGGAATGTAAATGTGTAGCCTATATCAGATTGTGTGCCATCTTGGGGAGGGTGGTGGGGAGGAAGGAGGAGAAAAATTTTAAACTCGAAAGCATATGGAAGTGATTGCTGATAAATCAAAATAAACTAATAAAGTTTAAAAAATACTTTAAAAAAAAAGAAATGATGAGCAGGCAGATTTCAGAAAAACCTGGAAAGGCTTACATGAACGGATATTGAGTGAAGTGAGAAAAACCAGGAGAACATTGTACACAGTAACAGCAACATTATGCAATGACAAACTTTGATAGACTTAGCTCTTCTCAGCAATGCAATGACATAAGACAATTCCAAAGGACTCATGATGGAAAGTGCTATCTACATCCAGAGAAAAACTATGGAGTCTGAATGCAAATGAAAGCATACTATTATCTCTCTCTCTCTCTCTCTCTCTCTCTCTCTCTCTCTCTCTCTCTCTCTCTCTCCTTTTTCTTTCTCGTGGTTTTGTCCTTTTGTTCTGATTCTTCTTTCACAACATGACTAAAGTACAAATATGTTTAATATGAATGTACATGTATAGCTGTATCAGATTGCATGTTGTCTTGCGGGGGCAGAGAAGGAGGGGCGAAAATTTGGAAGTCAAAAACTTATAAAAGTCAATGCTGAAAACAAAAAATAAATAAATAAATAAATTTTTAAAAAAAGAAAAAGAAAAAAAACCTGGAAAGACTTGCATGGGATGATGCAAAGTGACATGTACTATATACAGAGTAAAAGCTATGTTGTAAGATGATCAGCTGTGAATGACTTAGCTATTCTCAGCAATACAATGATCAAATGCGATGGTGTCTGAATACAGATTAAAGCATACTTTTTTAAACTTTATTTTTCTTGAGTTTTTTGTCTATTTTCTTTCTCAATATAACTAATACAGAAATTTGAAAAAAAATGCAAAACTAGAATTCACAAGAATTAAAAATGAATTAAAGGAAAACATCACAAGCTATTTTTCTCTATCATCTGCCCAAAACTGATAAATTAGATGAAATAATAAATTCTTAGAAAAAATAAAATACCAAAATTAACAGAAAGAAACATTACTTAAATAACACAATATCAAAATCAAAGCAATTCATATAAACATCATCATAGAAATAAATTGAAGAAAACATAAAAGAATACACAGAGAGAAAAACAAACCCCTAGACCAGATTTATAAGTGAGTTACTGAAAACATTCAAAGAAAAGGTAATTCCAATATTATATAAACTTTTTGGGGAAAAAAAATGAAAGTAAGGAGGGGAACAGTCCAGACTCTTTCTATGACACCAATTTGGTCTTATTATGTAAAATAAGGAGAAATAAAGCTTAGAAAGAAATCCATAGATTAATATTCTGAATTAATCTGGATGTAAATATATTAAGCAAAGTATTAGCAAATAACCTACAACAGCAAATGTTCTAAAACAGTTATATTCTCTCTAGTTTTTATTAGTATCAGTAACAGAGGATTGGTTCAACATCAGAAATAAAAACATAAAAGCACATTAATAACCACTTTTAAAATAATGTGATTATGTCAATAGACAGTGAAAAAGTAGAATCTAATACTTTTTATATTAAAATACTACAAAATATAGGAATAAATACCGTTTATTAATATGGTAAATTGTTGTCTTGAGTGGGGTCCAATTTGTTGTTTTCTCTCATGGCAGTCACATCTGACTTTTTGTGACTCCATCTGGGGTTTTCTTGGCAGTTACTGGAGTAGTTTGCCATTTTCTTCTTCAATTCATTTTACAAGTGAAGAAGGTGAGGCAAACAGGGTTGAGTGATTTGCCCAGGGTCACACAGCTATTGTGTCTAAGTTCACATTTGAACTCAGGTCCTCCAGGTTCTAGGGCCAGTACTCTATCCACTCGTCCACCTACCTGTCCTTAATATGGTAAGTTATGTATCTCTAAAACCATGAGAAAACATTATATGTAATGAAGAATAGTTGGAGTTCTGTCCAGTAAAATCAAGTTTAAGGAAAGATGTCCATTTTCACTATTACTACCTAAGATGAATCTAGAGTCAAGGATCCTTATGATCAGTGTATTCACCCTATTTCTATGTGAGTTTGATGCCACTCACTTAGATTGGCACTGAGGATCCTTCTAATTAAAAAAAACCTAATTTATCAAAGTTTGACATTGATGGAACTTTCAAATGGAGGGAATAGAAAGTAAGTTTCTCAATGTCTTTTGTTTTGCCTTTGTATTTTAGCTTCTACAGTTAAATTCCAGAGAACCTTCCACAAAGTGTATCTTCATTATTTCCTCAAACATTGCTACCAGTCTACACTTCACCAGTCCCTAAAAACAGACTGGATGCTTCCCTTGACTCCAGATACATCTTAACCATCATAGGAATCAATTCTTCCCAGCAGGCCTCCCCCCTGATTCTTCATAACCCTTTTTCTACTGGTGAGTTCTTCCTGGAGGTTTCTTTTTGAGGAAGGACCCAGATCAGCCATCTCCCAGTTTCCCAGATTTTTTTTTTCCTGACAACAGGGCCACCTGAAAGATATGTAAACTAATGTAAGCAAATATGAACAAATCATTTTGCTGGTGTTAAGCTTAAATGACTGCTCTGGAAAGACACCTTCCAAAGTTTGCTGGAGCCTGCTAGTTTCAGTTTCCACGGTGCTGATTGTTAAATTTTTAAAAATTTGCAAACGCTACAAATCAGGGTTCAATTTATTATTTTGTTGATAATCTAGACATAAAAGGGTAATGGAGAAAATGTGAATAATTCAGGTTAAACTTTAAAACACCTTTTTTAAATTTATTCTTTTCTCTGTAAAGACGGTTGTTAAACACCACTATCATATGTAGTACCCTGGATGTGTTAGGACTGTGGGTTTGCATGTTCAAAAGTTCTTCAGGTGATTCTCTATTTGTATTCAAGCTATTTTCTCCCACAGGAAAACAGAACAAAATTACAAGATGGTGCCTCCCAATTGTTTCTCCCAAAGTAACTTTTTTTTTCAGCCAAACACAAAGTTTATTAAACTTCCACCATATTGGCCAGACTCTTAAGGAATCTGAACATTTGTGAGCTATTGGCTAGATATAAAAATCTCAGCACCTAAATGCAGACAAGATGGACCTTATATACAGAAAGATTGTGGGAGGGATCTAGGGAGGATGTTGATGGGAGTGTGGCCAGTATGCCAGAGTGAACAGAATGCCAGGGACTTGGACCACTTGGTCAAGGGAGAATAGAGTCTAGATAAGATTAAGGGTGGAAAGTGGCCAGGGCCGATAGGTGGAGCCAAGATGGTAGAGTGAAAGCAGTGACTTCCCTGAGCTCTCCCCCAAACCCTTCCAAATACTCATAAAAAATGGCTCTAAACAAATTCTGAAGTAGCAGAACCCACAAAAAGACAGAGTGAAACAAATTTCCAGCCCAAGACAACCTGGATGATTGATCAGAAAGGCATATTGCTGGCACAGGCCACAGTAAACCTGGAGCAGGCCTCAGAGGACTGAATCTCGGGCAGCTGTGAGGTTTCCAGACTCCTCAATTCACAAATGCCAAAGACAACTTAGAAGGTCAGTGGGAAAAGTCTGTTTCTGTTGGTGGTCAGAGAGGAAGGTGAGGTCTCAGCTCCATTCCCCAAGAGCCTGGCCGGGGGGGGGGGCAGCTGCTTCCCGAGCTTCTGGCCCACAGACTGAGGGGGAATCCAGTGGCTGATCAGAGAGGGACTGCAGGGATCTATTTCCCAGTACTGAGGCAGGAATCTCTTGCTTTGCCTGTGTATGGATCTGGGTCACAGTTCTGGGCGTCAGTGCTG